GTTGGTAAAACTCCAATATATATAATCTTAATTCTAACTCATTATTCTTAAAACCTTAGTATTTTTAAACTTTTTTGTTTTTATTTTATTAATCTAGGAATTGAAAAGTATTTATTAAATGGATGGATTGGATATGTTTGAAATTGTAGACAAATAACTAATTTAATATTTTTATATAGATTAGTAATTATATTTAAAAGTAGCTCAAGTTTGAAAGATCCTAGACTGATTAAAACGGACCAAATTGAACCATTTCAATCAGTTCGGTTTGGTACGGTTTAATGGAGAAATGGTCTGTATTAGTGTTCAAAATAATAAAACTGACATTATCGGTTCGGTATAATTTTTTACCTCAATACCGACCGTACCAAACCAATTGCATCCCTAAGACACAACTAAACTCTTGTTAGGTGGGACTAGGTCTAGTTAAAGGTATTTGGGTTGATAGTAATCGATTAGTACCACAAAACTAGGATGGCTTTGGACCTGCAGTGCACATGCATATCCTTGAGATTGAAAAAATATAGGCGTGACATAGGTAGCTCATGGTTGAGTTCAATACATAACTTGAAAATCATTGAAAATGGAATTGGATAAATGACTAGTGTCCAGTTGGGAATTACAGCGTCGCACTCCTCTGTTTTGTGAAAATGGAACTACGTAAACAATAAATGCATGAGGTAATTCAAATTGGTTTTGTGAAAGTGTTTTGCATTGAGAAAATCATCTTCATTTATATATTGTATGACATTATGATCACATAGGTTATGATTGCATATTGAACATGCTAATTGCACGCTATTATTGGGCTATATGCTCAAGTTGTTGATATTTTTAGGCGGGTGGGAATCCGAAGCCACAAGGGGCTCAAAACCCTTTTCTTACATGTGATGGCCGTAGAGCCAATTGTCTTGTTATAAGGTCATGGATCTCCTTTTGGGATGAAGGGTAGTGTCATTTGTTGATTGAGAGCAAAAGATCTCGTTGTTGTTAACCCAAAATATTTATTCTGATCAACAATGATTGAGAGCCCTTTTTTTTGAAACCTCCACAACCTCCTTAGATCTCCACCATTGATGGTATGGACCCCACACATACATGAGTAGATCCTACACATACATGAGATCTAAAGAGAGTTGTGAAATCTCCAAAAAATGGGGATCTCAAACATTTTTCTTATCTGATTAATGTACAATGATTTTTGAGAGAAATTGTTTGACAAGTACAATGAAAATTTAATTTTCCTTCCAAAAAAAGTATTCGGTGTCTTGTTCAACAATTTTCACCTAATTTTAAACAAAAGGTGATAGACAGAAATCACATTGATCCAGATTAAAACAATTTAGATGTAAAATTAATATAATTAAAAACAAGTCTTTGATTTTTGAGGTTTGAGAGGTAAAATATTGAAACACAATTTCCAACCAAAATTTTAACTTGAGGCATTGCTCTTTGGGTAAAATTTACATAATCAATAGGTAGATGAAGTGGGAAAACCAGCATTCAAGTTCTTAAATCTGCCTAATTGTAGCTTTATAAACTAAATTCAAATGCTAAAATCTGCCGAGCATTAAATAACATTAATAAATAAATAAAGTCTCAAAAACTTTGATTTGAATTCTGCAAAATGTAAGTAGTTTCAATTTCAACTGCATAAGCAATGTACATTGTAAGAATTGCAGATTTAACAATAGCAACATTTGTTCATATTCATCGGTGCCCATATGTTTGTATTCGGAAATTTACCAATATCAAAAGCCACATTCCCATCACTAAATAAACATACTACATAAAATACAGAAATTGACACTTGAAATCACAATTGCAGACAGCAATAGATGAGCTGATTTTTGTTTTACATCAAAATATCTGGTTTTACTGCGATTCTCTCTTTGAGAACAAAACAAAATCAACAAAAACACAAAATGTGATCCGAGTGTCATTTGCTAAACTAAAAATTGCCTGACACAAAGCCCATGTTGCTTGGCTATAACACATCCTCATGATAGAGATAAGTCCCAGACCAAAACGAGCACAAGCTCGACGAAATGCCATTGCTTCTGCCTTCTGCACTGGATCTCCATAGCCTGCATCTTTACAGGAGCAGTACCTGTCGACTCCTTGTATATCTTATCAAAAACACAAAAACAAAAGTGAAGAGCAACTGAGGTCAGTTCCCTCACACACACACATATATTTCCTATTGAGATTCATAAAAATTAAAAAAAAAAAAAAAAAGAAAAGAAAAGAAAAGAAACAGGAAGGAGTGAGAGAGAAAGAATTGGCACATATTAAAAAAAAATAGTAATAATGTTGAACAATCTTATACATGCAAAAGAAATAAATAAATTTATATTGACGTGTATATAATAGTTTTTATATAAAGACGTGGTTACAATATTAAAGCCACCAACCATAAATCATTTAAAACCCATTACATTCTTTCTTGACATTCGAAAAATGGACATAACAACCCCAAATAGAGTATATAATAAATAAATAAATAAATAAATGAAAATCTGTCAGACAGTTCCTAGAACACATGCATTTTACACAAATCTGTCGACAGTTCATAGAGCCAGGTGCATTTTACATAAAGATGCATTTCAGTTCCTTGAGCCCCTGACCCAAGATGAGTTTTTTAACTGATTATATATACCCCTTCGTGTTTCTCTCCTCTCATTCCTTCCGTCCACTGAGAAGAGATACAAACTTTTAATAAAGGATAGTTACGGGATGTCGTAGAAAGACGAATCTCCTCTTTTTTGAGAGAGAAAGAATTGGCACATATTAAAAAAAAATAGTAATAATGTTGAACAATCTTATACATGCAAAAGAAATAAATAAATTTATATTGACACGTTGTATAATATAGTTTTTATATAAAGACGTGGTTACAATATCTAAAAGCCACCAACTATAAATTATTTAAAACCCATTACATTCTTTCTTGACATTCCAAAAATGGACATAACAACCCTAAATAGAGTAATGTAATAAATAAATAAATAAATGAAAATCTGTCAGACAGTTCCTAGAACACATGCATTTTACACAAATCTGTCAGACAGTTCGTAGAGCAGGTGCATTTTACATAAAGATGCATTTCAGTTCCTTGAGCCCTTGACCTAAGATGAGTTTATTAACTGATTATATATGCCCCTTCGTGTTTCTCTCCACTGAGAAGAGACAAACTTTTAATAAAGGATAGACGGATGATGTAGAAATCTTTAGCCAATAAAGGAGCTCTTGCATAGAAAGTCATGTTTGTTAGAAATTTTAATTTTTAGGAGTTTCTACTTTGGTTAGAATTTCCCTGACAAAAATTTTAAGTAAAGCTAGCAGTCCTTTCTAGGCCTACTATCTAGCCTGTTATTAGTTTATAAAATTTCTATTGCTGGAACTTTATATGGTTGCTTTATTAGATGGAGCAATTTTGAGAAAGTTTATCTTTGCGATCGGCTAGTATTCTACATATCAGGCTCCTTTCTATAAAGGATATTAGAGTAGAGTGAAGAGTTTCTCTTGATTAAAAATGAGTGTTGAACTCTTGTACTGATTCGAGCGTGGATCCCAATCGATCCCTCAAGAGATAAGGTACTTTCCCTTTATTAATCTTATCTGCTGAAATTCTATTATTGCAAATCTAATTTTAGTTTCTTTAATTTAACTATCTAGTCTGGAGGACCAACGCCTGGTAACCATTATGTTTCAAACCTTAACTCCGAACCCTTGTTTAAATCTTCAAAGCCACACTTTTCCTTGTGGTACAGCCACAGAATCAAAGAACTATATGTTGGGATAATTCGGTTTAAGGAACTACAAATTATAGTTAAAACGACTTGTATCCAGATTAAAACAATTTAGATGTAAAATTAATATAATTAAAAAACTAGTCTTTGATTTTTGAGGTTTGAGAGGTAAAATATTGAAACACAATTTCCAACCAAAATTTTTAACTTGAGGCATTGCTCTTTGGGTAAAATTTACATAATCAATAGGTAGATGAAGTGGGAAAACCAGCATTCAAGTTCTAAAATCTGCCTAATTGTAGCTTTATAAACTAAATTCAAATGCTAAAATCTGCCGAGCATTAAATAACATTAATAAATAAATAAAGTCTCAAAAACTTTGATTTGAATTCTGCAAAATGTAAGTAGTTTCAATTTCAACTGCATAAGCAATGTACATTGTAAGAATTGCAGATTTAACAATAGCAATATTGTTCATATTCATCGGTGCCCACATGTTTGTATTCAGAAATTTACCAATATCAAAAGCCAACATTCCCATCACTAAATAAACATACTACATAAAATACAGAAATCTACGCTTTGAAATCACAATTGCAGACAGCAATAGATAAGCTGATTTTGTTTTACATCAAAATATCTGGTTTTACTGCGATTCTCTCTTGAGAACAAAACAAAATCAACAAAAACACAAAATGTGATCCGAGTGTCATCTGCTAAACTAAAAATTGCCTGACACAAAGCCCATGTTGCTTGGCTATAACACATCCTCGTGATAGAGATGAAGTCCCAGACCAAAACGAGCACAAGCTCGACGAAATGCCATTGCTTCTGCCTTCTGCACTGGATCTCCATAGCCTGCATCGTTTACAGGAGCAGTACCTGTCGACTCCTTGTATATCTTATCAAAAACACAAAAACAAAAGTGAAGAGCAACTGAGGTCAGTTCCCTCACACACACACATATATATTCCTATTGAGATTCATAAAAATTAAAAAAAGAAAAAAAAAGAAAAGAAAAGAAAAGAAACAGGAAGGAGTGAGAGAGAAAGAATTGGCACATATTAAAAAAAAATAGTAATAATGTTGAACAATCTTATACATGCAAAAGAAATAAATAAATTTATATTGACGTGTTATATAATAGTTTTTATATAAAGACGTGGTTACAATATCTAAAAGCCACCAACCATAAATCATTTAAAACCCATTACATTCTTTCTTGACATTCGAAAAATGGACATAACAACCCCAAATAGAGTAATATAATAAATAAATAAATAAATAAATGAAAATCTGTCAGACAGTTCCTAGAACACATGCATTTTACACAAATCTGTCGGACAGTTCATAGAGCACAGGTGCATTTTACATAAAGATGCATTTCAGTTCCTTGAGCCCCTGACCCAAGATGAGTTTTTTAACTGATTATATATACCCCTTCGTGTTTCTCTCCTCTCATTCCTTCCGTCCACTGAGAAGAGATACAAACTTTTAATAAAGGATAGACGGATGTCGTAGAAAGACAAGGATTCCAAAAACAGCCCACTTAAAGCCCATCATTAGCCAATAAAGGAGCTCTTGCATAGAAAGTCATGTTTGTTAGAAATTTTAATTTTTAGGAGTTTCAACTTTGGTTAGAATTTCCCTAAATTTTAAGTAAAGCTAGGAGTCCTTTTCAGGGCTACTGTCTAGCCTGTTATTAGTTTATAAAATTTCTATTGCTGGAACTTTATATGGTTGCTTTTTAGATGGAACAATTTTGAGAAAGTTTATCTTTGTGATCATCTAGTATCAACATATCAGGCTCCTTTCTATAAAGGATATTAGAATAGAGTGAAGAGTTTCGCTTGATTAAAAATGAGTGCTGAACTCTTGTACTCATTCGCGCGAGGATCTCAATCGATCCCTCGAGAAATAAGGTACTTTCCCTTTATTAATCTTATTTGCTGAATTTCTATTATTGCAAATCTATTTTTAGTTTCTTTAATTTGACTATCTAGTCTGGAGGACCAACGCCTGGTAACCATTATGTTTCAAACCTTAACTCCAAACCCTTGTTTAAATCTTCAAAGCCACACCTTTCCCTGTGGTACAGCCACAGAATCAAAGAACTATACGTTGGGATAATTCGGTTTAAGGAACCACAAATTATAGTTAAAACAACTTATATGAAAGGGAAAGAAAATCCATCAGTAATGACCCTTGGTTGATATTTCAACAACATTACCATCAACTTTAATAGATACCTGTTTTCTTCTTTTTAACAAAGAAATAAAATCCACTTCTGCCAATATCTTTTCCTCATTCAACGCAGATAGTGCCAACAGAAAGAATCTCAGAAAGTAAAAAGCAAAAGAGATCAAACAAACTAATACATTAGAAATCATGCCATATGATAGTACCCTTCAGCAACTTCCATTGATTTTAGGCTTACATAATCGGTCTCCAAGCCAACCACTGAAATTGGTTGCCCCAGCCCCCGGTATGCCAGAACAGTTAAGAACTTTAGGACAGGGCCTTGTCAATTGTTACAACCTACTCTAGACTATATCTAAGGGGAAAAAGAAAGGGGATCACTCCTGACGCTCCACATGGGGCTCAAACTCACAACCTCCAAGAGATGCAACATCTAATGCATTAATAGACGCACTATCAATTAACCAAAGTTACAACACTATAGAAGAAAGCAATGCAAAAAATCAAGTCAATTTAATAAAGTGTCAGCAAGCCTGAATCTTGCATGCTCTACACAAGCTTTAAGAACGCAGAATAATTTGGATTTGACTGTCAGGGTCGCTCCTGCCTAAAGAAAAATTAAGCTCAATATGTAACTTGATAAGTTAAAAAAAAATTCCCAGCAGTCACCAGTGAGATAGCAAAGTTAACTACATATATTAGAAGATTCTATAGACTTCCATATGATGTTCGGCATCAGCAAGGTAATGACTTGAAGCAATGACAAAATGGCCCATTTAACTCAGCAACAGAAAACATTTTCAATAATTCACACTAAAGCAATTTGAAAACATAATCTTGTAAATCTTCACTAACTAGAACAATACCAGTCAATGTCCAGAAGCAGACTAGGTATGAGTACGTCACCACTACCAGTCTAAGATGCACGCATATTGTGATACAAACGAACAAATTATGAAGCATAAAGCAGCAATGGTACCTCAGAATCAGTCCCATACAGCGTGACACGGTAAACAACAGACACAGACTTGCCATCAGCCGAATACGTTATGTTTCGAACCTCACCAGACCATTCTACAATAGATTGAGAATTTGAAATGTTTTCAGCATTCACAGATCTCAGTGCCCCTTGCAATTGGAATTAAAATCACTTGGTGAAAGAAAAATAGTGAACTTTAACGTACCTGGAGCATGTAAGTTCATAATCCGATTCACAATATGCCTAGCAAGAATGATAAGACAACTTGAAATGTCAGATAACCTTCCTTTCCAAGCACTAAACATTAGAGCTAAACTCTGATTACTACATTATAAATTGGATTAGAGTGGTCCTTACATAACAAATAAAATGTAACGTTGAACAGGACAAGAAAAAGTTCATAAGATAAAAAAAATAAAAAATAAAAAAACTCATACTTTAGATTATTTTAGCCCTTTCAAGATTGTTAACAAGAAGTTTCAGCACCATTCCTGAGTAAAAGAACTATTAAAAAAGAATTAAGTATAATATTATAAAAAGAGGCACCAACAGGGTGCAACCCATGTACAAAAGAAAACCAATATCATCTATACATCAAAAACCTATTCAAAGGTGTCCACAAATCCAAAAATTGGTTCAAGGATGGGCTAAAAAGCATGGACACGGACATTGGCACAAGCATGGACATCGGACATAGTGATTTTCAACAAAATAGGATATGGACATGGCAGGGATATGACAACAAATATAAATAAACACATTTTTATCCACGAACAACCAAAAATAATGAAAAACTAACATTAACTCAACATGAAAAAAACCAGTCAATCTATAATTTAAAATATGTTACATGGACTCGGGTACATGTATCGGGTGTGGGGGTGTATCCAAACGTCAGACCTTCATAAATTTAAATCTTAGGATATTAAGATACGTATCCAAAATTGGATATGAATGCAGGGACGCATCATACACACATACATATTGCATATTATATAATATTCTTAGAAGAAAATGTTGTAAATTATACAGAAATATACTTGAACTTGAAAAGGATTCAGAAAAAATATCAAATTTCTATATCTAATTCATGTGAGAGGCTAAAATATTGCTTTACTAGCAAATATGAGTTTCTTCTTCTCATATATTGTAACAAATTAAAAGATCTGAGTGTCTAAATTTAGTACGAGTGTCGGACACATATCTCATACCCTTACCCATGTCATATCCGGTGGACACGGGTATTGTGGGGGAAATAGAAGAGTTCATATAACACATACGCAATACAATCACAAACCATTACATCACAAATGTCAAAAGAATTAAAGTTCAATAATGAATAAATCATGCATCAAAAGTACATAAACCCCCACTATTTTGTTTAAGAATTAATATGATGTTGACATTTACCAAAAGAACCAGAAATTCCACAGAACTAACGTGAATGCAAGCATATAATAGGAACATTAGAAAGATGAGAGGGGCAAAGTCGACACATTTTGAAATGATAAAATGTTAGTGTTGGCTGTATTTTGAAACTTCTATCTACAAATAGCCACCGTTTAGTTTTTAGATTAAACAGTGCTCCGATTTGGTAATCCAAATCATTCATTACTCACTTGGAACAAGTGAAGCCTTTGATTAATAAAGAACATAAATTAAAAGGAAATAAGAGACTTAAACATGAACACAATGCATTCATTAAAATTTTAAGGCTTTGATGCCTCAAATTACATGAAATGGTATAAAAAGAGAGGGCTTGGAACCCTTTACCTATAACACACCATGTCTATAAACACAGAAAAAGATTTGCAAATTCTTACACTCCATTTGGATTGAGGGATTTGGTGAGAAAAGAAAAGAAAAGAAATTGAGAGAATGAAATTTCACATCTCTTGTTTGGATGATTAATAGTGCGAGTAATGGTGAGAAATGAAGAGAAATGGTGAGAAAGACAAATCACTCCAAACTTAAGTTTTGTTTCTGGCCCAAAGTGGTGAGAAACAAAGCAAATAAAATAAAATAAAATACCTAAACTACCCCTCTAAATACAAAGCAAATAAAATAAAAAGACACATGTATCCTCTTTTAATCAGCATATCCATCAAAACAGAAGGTGAGAAACCATAATCACTTCCTTTCTTTTCTCATCTCCCAATCCAAACAGAGTGTTAGAGATAATAGGAAAGCCCTACTCATCTGGTCAGCTTGGTCTTTTGCAATTTCATTTATCTCATTTAGCATCACCACCGTAGGCCCTTCACGTGTCATCTCTTGATTGAGCATTTGGCCTCTTATTATCTGCTGACCCCACATGGCATTTGATCTCATCAAGATAACTTCTTGGTTAGAACTTAGAAGCATGAATCCAGTGTTGCATCTTATTCATCTGCTCCGTAGATGCTACTTCTTGATTGGCTTTGAGTTTTGCAAACACATGGGACTTAGATATTTCCCTGTAAGTTTGTATTCCCACCGTAGGCTCTACACATATCATTATCCCAATCAATCCCCAAATCTTTGGTTTAGTTGAAATTTACATGCCAAAAAAATGCCCCCTCTTGTGATTCATATAAGTAGGTTTTTACTACGTGAATCATGATAACTTTAAACTTCTTATTTTTAAAACATTTTTCTTTTATGTGTGGGCTTTCTTTCCATAGGTGACCCTCTTTTTCCTGTGGGCTACTCTTAACTTGGATCATGGGCATTTGCTTTTTGTTTGTGTATGGATCCCTTTTTTATGGGTCTGTTACAGTATGAGGGAAAGTTAATTTTCATAGGCTAACCTCATCATTATCAATTTTTTTTTTTTTTTTGGGTTGAAGAGTTTCAACTAAACTCTTTCTCAGTGCTTTTTGAAGAGTTGTATAGGGACTTTTATAAACTATTTGCGCAGTCCACCGCCATGGAAGCCAACAGTAACCAGCATCCACCTTTTAGTTTTTCAGGTATGATTTGCATTATGATCATATCCCTATTTGGGTCCAGATTCTTTGACTTTCTTGGTCAAGAGAGAAGCAAGAGCTCTGTTCTTCTGTTTTAGGCTGTCACGTACATTTATGTGGGTTATTAATCAAGTATTGAAACCCTTTATCTGAAGGTGTGTAGCTGTTTACTTCGACAATATTCTGGTTTTCAGTTCATCATTAAAAAGACACCCTATTACTTTCTACAGGAAGGCTCACGACTTCACTTTTCAACATATGACATAGAACTTTTTGCAATCATCTGAATATTAAAGCATTGGCACATTATTAGTAGAAAGGGAGTGGGAGTACATTCTCAACTCTGATCAATGATCATGAAGCTCTCAAGTACATAAACAGTCAGCAAAAGTTGAATAAGGGGCATGCTAAGTGAGTGAGCTATTTACAATGTTTCACTTTCACATTAAAGCATGAAGTCAGTACTCAAAATAAGGAGGTCGATGATTTAAGCACAAGGGTTTCACTTGTAACAGTAATGAGGGCAGAAATTCTAGACTTTGACACCTTCAAAGAATTGTACATGAATGATGAATATTTTGGTCCTATCATGCAAGCTGCGGTGGCTGGTGAGTGTAATGATTACTCCATCAAAAAAGGTTTTCTTTTCAAAGGGTCGCAGCTGTGTGTTCGTGACTACTCTTTAAGGGAGAAGATTGTCATTGAACAGCATGCTTTGGGATATTCTGGTTGTGATAAAAGCATTGCATTGGTGAAAGAAAGTTATTACTAGCCAAAGTTGAAGCGCAATGTACCTAGGCATGTTCAGATATACCATATTTGCCAACATTCAAAGAGAGGAACAACCAATGCAGGTGGGTTTATATGCTCCTCTCCCCGACTCCATCCAAACTGCATGGACTGATGTAAGTATGAATTTCGTTCTTGGTCTTCCACGCAGTCAGAGGTGTTAAGATTCAAAATTCTATGAAATATGGACACCTCTCTAGTGGTCACGTACTGGTGTTCAACACGTGCCGGACATAGACACGGAATGTCTCATTTTTTCTTCAGTTGGACATATTCGGGACACATGATGTCCTAATTTTATTTTTTTCACCCGAGTAGCATGTAATGAACTTGATGAGCTTAAATAGAGATAATTGTTAAAAAGTCTAAGCTAAGAAGGGTACAAGTAGGTTTAGTAGATATTTTTTGTTAGTGAAAAGTCCACCTTTTGTTAAATAATTTGGTGAAAAGTACTTTTATTTGTTTTGAAGGACATTTTGTTTCCAATTTTATCCCTTAATTTATCTGTTTACCTTTTTTTATCTATCCACTTTCGTTCACTATCTGTTCAAATTTTTTCCCTATCTGTTTAATTTTTTTTTTAATCTTATATGTTTAATTTTATGATCTTTTCAATTCAAATTTTATTCCTATCTATTTCAATTTTTTTTCCTGAATTTTATATGTTGAAATTTTATCTGTTCAATTTTTTGTATTTTTATTTTTTTCTATCAGTTGAAATATCAAGCCAACCAAATCCTATTTGTTCAAAAATTTATATCTGCTCAAATATTTCTTCTCTCTCTCTCTCTCTCTCTCTCTCTCTCTCTCTCTCTCTCTCTCATTTGTTCAAAAACATCATCAACAACAACAAATCTTATTTGTTCATCAACAATAACATCATCACCGAATCCTATCTATTCATCATCATCATCATCATCATCATCATCAACAATATCAAAAAAATTTAAAAAAGAAAACAAAAACAAATTTGTTGGTATCTCTTTCCACTTCCAAAGTAATCGTCTTCCTTGTCAAAGTCTTCCAAGGTATCTCCTTTCATTGAGACCTATGTCAAATATAATATATATAAACACTATACCAGTAAACTTAAAGGGCAAAAATATTAAACAAATACCAACACAAGGTTTTTGAATATGTAAATAGATAATCACTTACAAACACATTCAGTGAGATTCATGATCCAGTAAACACATTTAATTCAACTTTCTTCAGCTAATTCACTAATCATCTCCAATCCTTCACCAATCATTTCATCAAAATTGTAGCAAATCAAGGGAAAAGAAAAATTTCCAACAAGTTAACGATGAAACAAATCCGAACCAAATGTCAAACTCAGATTTGAAGAATTTTTAAGAAGAGTGAAAATTTGAGATGGTTTTCTTTAATAAAAAATGGTTTTAGAAAAAGATTTTTAGGATTAAACCGAAACAAACAAAGATATCAATGTAAAGATTTGATTTGAATCTAGAGATAATGTGCCTGTTTGGCAGAACTTAAAAGCAACTTATTTCAGCTTTCAGTGATGTGTTTGGTTTAGCTTATAGCTTATAGCTTTTTGGAAGTTAAAAATCAGCTTATTCTTTTAGTGGAGCAGGAAATGCTTAATTTATAAGTCAGAAATCAGCTTATGTTCATAATTATAAGCTATAAGCTGTTTAGGCATAAGCTATAGGCACTTTCCCGCAGCTCTACCAAACAAGGCCAATAACAGTGTTTCAGATCAAACTTTTAAAAAAAACAAGTAAATAAATGTAATCACATGAAACAAGCGAGCGATGAAGAAGAATAAGAAGTAAATAACAGTGTTTCAGTTCCAGAGTTTGGAACAATGAGAGAGAGAGAGAGAGATGCTTTTATGGCCGATTAGAGCGCTCTGATGATATGCTAAGAACGCTCCAATACCAAAACAACGCCATTTTGTCAAGTAGAGATCTTCTCTAACTCTGTCAAGCTCTAGATCTAGAAGCTCAACTACCGCCACACCGCTAGAGTCCAACACCAACCACCCTTCCCTCGTCGCCGTCTTTCGCTCCTTGGTAGAAGCCGACATAAGAAGATCCAGATTGTCTCACGGCGGTGGTGGTGGATCTGGATTTCAAGGCCGGTGGTGGTGAAGCTACGTATCTAGATCTCACAATTTGGATCTCGTGGCGGATGAGGGCAGCGAAGCAACAACGAAGGAGGTGGAGAGGCGACGGAGGAGTAGCGGTTGAGAGAGAAAGAGAGAGGGAGAGAGAGAGAGAGACGAGAGACGAGAGTGATTTTCTATTTATTCACTGCCGTGTCTATGATATTTATAGAATATTTTGGTCATTTTATCTAAACTTGTCCTTTTGGACAAAGTATTCCAATGCATAGACCTTTAGCCTAACAAAATTGAAATTTGAATTTATGGACTGAGTGCCATAAAATATTTGGCATAAATAAATATATGATATTCTAATATACATCATATAATCAATACATTTAATTATACATATTACATGCAAGGTTTCAAAAAGTGGTGTTACGTAACGGTTGCGGCCGTTACGTAACAGTTGTGGCAGGTAGGCATTACCCATTGCACCCGTTTTTGCGGTGTCATGAAAATTCATATGTAACGGCCGTTTTGGTTTTACATAACCACCGTAACGGTGCCGTAACAGCCTGTTACACACATTTACAATATTCTGAACAGCTTTCTTTCAAAAAAAAATAAGTACAGCCTGTTACACACATTTACAATATTCTGAACAGTTTCTCGCAACCAGGCGGGTTTGATACAGTGGTTGAATCCTTCAAGTAAAAGGATTTGCATTTTCTAAACACAAAAGTTATGGAGTTGTCTTTTCAAGATTGAGAAATGATAATATTCAAATTTTGTTCCTATATAAACTTGGCATATCTAATCAAGAGGGCATATTGAAGTTATCAAATATTTATTTTCATTATGTACTCGTTCGTTATCTATAAAATGATTAATTTTTTTTCTGATAGTAAAAAAATAAAAATAAAAAAGTAGTATCATAAGCTATATTCAGCTTTATCTAGGGTTGCTTGGGTATTTATACTCTACTTAGTTCCTCCTTCATCTCCCTAATTGATCTTGTAATCTTCTATGCACCACTGACACTGGACCAAAAAACCCCAACTTCGCGTTTATTCACAGCCAAAGGTGGACAAGACTCCAAAGGCAACACATCCATCTCTTCACACTTCATAAATTGAGAACTATCCAAGATTGCCAATTCTAATCCACCTTCTTCATACTTCTCCACCAAAGCTCCATCACCCATATTTACCACTCCAATTAACCCCCTCCTCAGCAACAGATTCTCTTAGCACTACCCATATAGTGCCTTCCTCTTCTGATCCTTCTAATTTCACTTGACTTATAAGAGTACTCTCTTTAAAGAGCAAACCATTACTCAAGCTTCTCCTAACATGACTCATTATTAGCACTACCCATATACTCAACCATTTCTCAAAAATAACTTACTTTTAAAAATTGCGTGAGTCAATTCAAAAATTGTAAAATATAAAGCAATATTAACGTCGAAACAAACGGACAATATGTCTATTTAGCACGGTGAAAAGTAGCATTTCTATATAACAAATTTCACAATTTTTGTAAATTCTGCTGAAACATTTTACACAGAGAGAGAGAGAGGCCGACCAGGGGATGTATTTGACGGGGAAGCCATCAGATTCGGTGCGAACCCTGATGAGGGAATCGGGGACTTTCTTGTTGAGTTCTTTGAGGATTTCAGAGAGAGGGCGGCTGATTCCAGAGGTGGGAACTAGGTCCTCCAAGTCTTCTTCTTTTTCTGATGACGGAATCGAGGACTCTCTCATCGTCGCACCATTCGAAGAAGAAGAAGAAGAGGCCTTGGCTTTGGCAGCAGCGTAGCAACGGTTAGAAGAGCTTCGCAAAACCAACAACCATTCCCAACCAGCTGACACTGATGATGATGATTTTGCTACACATTTCACTCCTGTCGTCAGGGACGACGCCATTTTTCCTTCTTTCTTGCTCTGTCTCCTCAAGGGTTTATAATACCCCTGTTTTGAGCTCTATTCACTTGTTTGTTTGGTTCCAATCAATTTTTAAAAATTTGAATTTTTTATTTTTATCGTTTTTTTTTTATTTGTATTGAATTTTTTTTTAATATTTTAAACAAATTTTTTACACTTAACATAAATAAAATTTAAAAGTGTAATATTTGTGAAAAATAATTTTTAACAATTTATAAATATCAAAAAAACAAAAAAAAATGAAATTTTAATATATTTTTGTATTCTTGTGTATTTATTAATTTTTTTAAAAATATATTTTTTACTATATTTTATGTAAATCTAAGTTAGGTGTATTTAAAAATTAAAAAAAAAATTACTTATAATATTAAAATAAATTCATTAAAAATATAAAAAAAATGCAAAAAATAAAAAATTAAATTAAGTAAATTAGAACCAAACAAGGTGATTCTTTTTTCTTTCTATTTTTTTGGACTCTGTGTTTCTTGTGTACTCACGTCAAAGAATAATGCTATATGCATCGATTTATGTACTAATTAGTGCATCAATTGATGATGCGACATAATTTAAGAGGTTTTTGGTATTTGTAATGTAATTAATTAGTGAGGTCAATAATAATATTATAACTAATGTTGGTACACTAATTAATACATGTAGTACCACTATACGTTAAATGTAAGTTAAAAGCATTTGCTATATTTAATGTGGGGATATATTTTTTGAGTTCCAACACGTGGCATGGTGACGCCGACGTGTCAGCCGAGGTGCCACGTGTCGTGGTAGTTACGCCGAGGTAATCTCGGAGTTGCCGAGGATATCTCCGAAGATATCGGAATTGGAGATATGCGGATAAGGGACAAGAGTCCTAGGATAAAGAGGAGACTTAGCCAAGATAAGGATAAAGCTCTTAGGGAGTTTATCTTTATCTCTTGAGGAATCCAAAGTAAGCACTGAATTGGAGTCCATACAAGTCATGCTTCTAGTAGGACTTGGATTGAGTTAACTATAAAAGAGAGACACCCCCGTGGGTCTAAGGTACGCAATTTATGTTTTGAGCATTAAGTTTAGCACTTGATTATCTTTGAGAGATATACTGACTTGATTGTCGGAGTGCCCCCGGGTGCAAGAACTACCGCCGGAGCCTTTTCTTTCTATTACAGGTTAACTGAAGCCATCTATTCTGCCAGTGCTCTCCAATTGATTACTAAGCAGGCAGTGTGGTCAGATTTTTACCCACACAATTTGGCGTCGTCTGTGGGAAGAAGGAAGAATAAATGGCCAGTAACGGACAGAAGGAAAGGATTGGCGACGACGCTGCCACTGGGATTGGCAGACCAATTGACCTTGACATTGAAGGAGACAACCACAACGTAGAAACCCATGACCAGGGTCACAGAGAGAAAGACGTCATCCAGGAGGGCGACACTTCGAAGAAAACGGACCAAGGAAAGTACTACATTGAAGATAATCTCCAGGTATGGAAGGACAGGTGCCTACGGAGGGATGAGGAAGTAAAGGAATTGGAAAACAAGCTGGCAGACCTACAGTCAGTCGTCAACTTCATAATGCAGAACAATGTTATGCAGCCACCATACCCGCTGCAAGATACGCCGATGCCAGCAATTAACACCCAGAAGGAAGGAAGGAAAACAATCCCCGAAGTTCCTCAGCACACCAGGAGCGGAAGGCACTCTCACCGACCTTCCAGGGAAGTCGAACGAGAGGAGCCGAGGCAAGAAGAGCCCTGAAGGACACATCACATGAAGGATCCAGGGCCCAAAGAGCATCGGAACGTTCAAGGGCAAGCACTGTGCTTTGACACAACCCATGGAGAAAGATCGAAACGGGCCCACCACGAGGCCGAAAGTAGTGTGCCAAAAAGACTGAAGTCCAGAGATAGCCGAGCTCTAGATAGGAGTAAAGAAGACTTGAGAGATTACCTCAAAAGGAGACAGCAGAATGTTGAAGCCGAAGTAACTTCCCTTGTTAAGCCGAGGACACCATTCTCGGTGGAACTGGACAAATTCGAAGCACCAAAGAGATTCAGTATGCCGAGGTTTCAAATTTATGATGGTAAGTCAGATCCCAACTTTCATGTCGGACTATACCTGAATTCAATGGCATTATATAGTGAGAACGAGCCGTTGCTCTGCAAAGTATTCCCCTCATCTTTTGGGGAGATTGCATCCGATTGGTTCCACAAACTACCAAAGGGAAGCGTAAAGACATGGAAGGCCTGGCCGAGATGTTCGTAGCTAGGTTTGTGACCAACAAGTTGCAGCCCCTGAGGGTTGACGCTTTGATGGCTTTAAGAATCACCAAGGATGAAGGCCTCAGGGCCTATGCGAAGAGGTACTACGAGGTGTTCAACCGAATACCCGAATGCAACCAAGAGGTGGCGGTCGTGTCTTTCAAGAACGGCCTGAAAGATGACTGCCCACTACGGAAGTCTTTGGCAAAAACATTGCCAAAAAGCATGGAAGAACTCATGGCGAGAATTGAGAAGTATGCCAGAGCCGAAGAAGATACATCGGGAAACAAAGAGATAAAGCAGGAGAAGGGAAACGGCTCGCCGAAGCAAGGCCGAAGTAACAACGGGTCGACCAAACAAGAAATGGAATTGAGAAGTAAACAGGCAGTGACGACGGTATTCCGAATCCCAATCCATAAAGTCCTGGATCAAATTCGAAACCAACCCTATTTCAGGGCACCGGCAAGAGCACCAGGGGAATTCATGGGAAGAAACGTTGGTAGGCGTTGTGCCTACCACAACGAAGAAGGGCACCCAACTCAGGGTTGCAGAGCCTTGAAAGCACACTTAGAGGACTTGGTAAGGCAAGGCCTTCTGAGGGACCTGGTCGATGAAGCCAGGACAAGGGAAGAACAGGCAAGGTTGCCTCAAGCACCAGCAGCTCCGCCTCCACCAGCACAGCAACCACAAGCAGGAGGACCACGGGTGGTTAATGTGATCCACTCAAGGGTCAACGAGAACGAAGTCAGAGGAGAGACCCAAAGGATAAGACATTTACAGCATGTCTACTAAGTCGGGGAAAAATGACATCGGCCAGAAGAGTGCCAAGGGCCGATGATAGCCTTTACTGAAGCCGACCTGGAATTGGTCCAACATCCGCATAATGATGCCTTGGTAGTATCCCTCCAGGTTGGGGAGTGCCAAGTGAAACGCATCCTAATAGATCAAGGCAGCTCTTGCGATATCATGTATGTCAGATGTTACAAGGAGTTGGGCCTTCACCCTGATGACTTAGAGCAATCCAGCGACCTAATGGTCGGCTTCAATGGAACGCCGACATGGCCACTGGGCGCAACAAACTTGGAAGTACGAGCCAGCACAAAGAAGATCAAGACAAAATTTTTGGTAATTGACACGCCTTCACCATACAACATCATCCTAGGAAGGCCGTGGTTGCATGCAATGGGGGCAGTTCCCTCAACGTTGCATCAACTACTGCGGTTCCCAACAGAGCATAGGATTGAAGAAGTTAGAGAAGATCAACTGCAGGCAAAGAATTGCTCCATGGCCGCAATGAAGTCTACCTGCAGCGTACGAGAGCCAAAGAAAGCAGAAATTGAAGATGAGGACATGGAGGTCCTAGAAGACGTCGGCAAAGAACCAGTCGAGAAGAGCGAAGAGGCGCTAAAGAAAATCCTCGTCGAGGAGGGCGATGAAGAGCGTTTTCTTTCTTCTCGGCTCAAGCTTAGCCAAAGAAGAGGAAAGAGAACTGAAAGATTTTTTGAGAACAAACATAGAGGTGTTCGCCTGGACACCTTATGAAATGCCTGGCATTGACCCCGAGGTCACTTGCCACAGACTGAATGTCGACAGATCGGCAAAGCCTGTGATTCAACGAGCCAGAAGACCGACGTTGATGCACGTCGAAGCAGTAGAAGAAGAGGTAGACAGACTTCTGGAGGCCAGGGCCATCCGAGAAGTTCAGTACTCGACATGGCTGTCCAACACAGTAGTGGTGAATAAGAAGAACGGCAAATGGAGGGTTTGTGTAGACTTTACCAGCCTCAACAAAGCTTGCCCCAAAGACAGCTTTCTTTTGCCCAAGATTGACCAGCTAGTAGATGTTACCTCAAGGCATGAAAGGATGAGTTTTCTGGATGCATACAAAGGGTATCACTAGATTACCATGTACCCTCCAGACGAGGAGAAGATCGCGTTCATCACCCCTAAAGGCCTGTACTGTTACAAGGTAATGCCTTTTGGGTTGAAAAACACAAGAGCAACATATCAAAGGTTAGTAACAAAGATGTTTAAGCACCTGATTGGCAAAAACAGTAGAAGTCTACATCGATGACATGGTCGTGAAGACCAAGGAATCTAAGGGTCATCTTGCCAACCTAAAAGAGGTCTTTGATATACTCAAAAGATATCAGCTCCGACTCAACGCATCGAAGTGCGCGTTTAGAGTTGGATCAAGTAAGTTTTTAGGGTATCTGGTAACAAGAAAAGGCATTGAGGCCAGCCCAGACCAAATCAAGGCCATCCTGGAACTAAAGAGCCCGACATCGGCAAAATAGGTTCAGATGCTTACTGGAAGGGCCGCAGCCCTAAACAGATTCATCAGCAGAAGCTTAGATAAGTGCAGACCCTTCTTCAACCTGGTGAAAAAAGCCACAGACTTCTTGTGGACAGAAGAATGCGAAACCGCCTTGACCAACCTGAAGAAATACTTGACAACGGCCCCAGTCCTCTCAACACCTGAACCTGGGGAAGAGCTGTTTTTATACTTAGCTATGTCAGAACACGCAGTTAGCACAGTGCTAATCCGAGAGCAAACATGGGAGCAGAAAGCTGTTTATTATGTAAGTAAAACCTTGGCCGACGCAGAAACTAGGTATCTACCACTGGAGAAATTAATGCTGGCCTTAGTAATGGCTTCAAAGAAGTTGAACCATTACTTTCAGGCGCACAAGATTGTGGTCCTAACAGAGCACCCACTGAAGTCCTTGTTGCAACAAGGAGACTTAACAGGAAGGATAGTAAGATGGGCAGTAGCCCTGGGCCAGTACGACCTGG